TCCCAGCTGCAAGACCTGTGCCATGGTTTTCTGTCACTTCCGAACAAACACGACTAGAAAAAATTAACACTGGACACCGGATGATCAGGGCACTGCTCAGTTATGTTCCTTATCTGACTACTAAGCCTAATATCACTTAGCATGCAAACTACAGAGTTATCACTCACCTCTGACAGATCTGACTTGATTCCCTGACAAATCCTCAGTGTGACCCTGCCCTTCGGTCAATTCGTCTCCAACCACACTTGCATCTGTTGATACTCCTTCACCGGAACTTGCCTTAAATTATTTGCTTTTCTTTGGTTTTTGCTTAATTGAAATACCTTAGACATAGAAAAAGCAATACAGGCGGGAACGGTTGCTTGCTGTTTTTTGCAAACCAAGAATAGATGTCTTCTAAGGAATTTGCTCAAATATTTTAGGCATCAAAACACTTCTAAAATAACCCAGCTAATCCTACTTGTCTTAAACAGTAAAGATTATAAAAAAATTTCCATAAATAAGTGACCTGTTCTTCAATAAAATATTGACATTTTTTTGGCAGAAAAGCGGAAAGAATAAGCGTATGAGTGTCTTTTAATCTAACTTTTTCCTTAGAACCACTGAGGTTCAGAAATTTCATCACTGGTAAAACTTTTTTGTCCTGCACTCAGTAACTCTTCTCAGTATTTTTCTAAATACTAGTATCGTGATGAAAAAAAGATGAAGAAGTTGAAGCAATAACGAATAGAAATGTTTACAAGAAATGATATTCTTCTTTTAGAACGACGCCTTTCGTACCCAGTTTACATGCAACGCATAAAGCAAACTAAAATTCTCTACTTTTATAATAATATGTTACGAGGTAAAGCCAACTAAATGCCAAAATGCAAGCCTTGCTTCAACCGAAAAAAGAACGTTCTAGTATAACAAAGATGCGCGGCAATAGTAAAAGCTAAAAATTTATTAAACTGTGCCACTGCTAATAGCCTTACCTCATGAAAAACCATATTTACCTTACTATACTTACACTAAAACCAATAAGGATGGCTGGCGAGAAGGACAGTACCTGCAAAGCACGCTGAAGTCAGAAGAGGAAGTTATTTTACTTTCATTTTTATGGAATAAACTCATCGAGTTACTGCCCTTCCCGTTCAGTGTGGCCAAATCAGTCACAGTTGCACCAAACCCACATTTCCGCTCAAATACTCGGTGAGTATCTAGCTCATCTACGCATACACAACAATAAACCCTCAAGATCATCACGATCAAGTGATATTTTAAATAATCAACATTCAAAAGCAAACGAGTTGTTAAGAAGAAACCATACTTGTATTTGCTTGATCACTGTCGCAAACAAATTGTGACGCTCGGAAACCAATTTCGACGAGTGCATTATAGCAGGATGACTTTGACGTCAGGGAGTTTTTCAATGTATCCAGGTTACTATAAAAATAATAGTCATAAAACACTATTTCAATCAAACTGTCGGCTGTGAAATTCTGCATAGAACCAAAAATCGTAATATTTTAAGTTCAGCAAGGACTTCATTAAAAAAAGCATTTCAGAAACAACTTGAGCGCAAAAAAAGTTTTACTTTTTTCTTTATTCCAGCTTGCACCTAACTGTAAAAAGCTTACTGCCTTGATTAAAGGACGATGGCAGCTGGAAGAAAGCTATGACGTTTGTTATGTTGAAGTATTTAAAGATACGTTTAAAAGTTCTGTTTAGTTCACCTGAGCTTCGCTCAGGAATTATAAAAAAATTAAAAAATTACGTTTTCAGTGAAAAGAATTTTTTTGCTACAGCAATGCTGCTTTGTTCACCTTGTCAGATCTTTACAGTAATTTTAGTTAAAGTTAATTAGAACACGTCGTATTCAATTGATGCACTCACCAGTTGTAGTGTGATTTGTGTCCTTGCCAGTACCTTCAAAATCGCTAAACTTATGACAGGGTACGCTTGCAAGGTGAGTGAGCTGGCGGGAGAGCTGTAAAGCATTGATGTTTTTCGTGAGATGTCAACAGGCTTGTTATCAAAGTGCTAAAGAAATATGTATTTATCAAGTTTTTAGTGACATTGATACATCAACGCGAGATGATTAACGCCCTGTAGTTTTTTAAACTATCATATGCGGTGAAGCGAAGTTGCAAGAAAACTGTCATTTTGTGCTTAGGTGCTTGTGCAGCATTTATGAAGTGAAAAGTCATATTTTAAAATACGTTGTTTCTATCAGTTCTGCGTGTGATTTAGTTTAGCAGTGACAAAATAAATAGAAAAAAGTTCTTGTGAAGGAAGAGAACACTGAGCGATTGCGTCATAAAGCTAAAGTATCAGATTTTATTTGATTGCAACTTTACGACAATTAATAAGAGAGTGAAAAACCAGGGTGGTGGGAAATAGCAAAATGTGTGAAAACTTAAAGCACTTTTTTCTCTACTATAAGATTCTATGGTGCAGCAATGAATCGTCTGGAACGTTTAAACCGTATGAAAAGGTCACAGAGAACTGTATGGGATGTTACAGGCTTCGTGCAACTAGTAATTCTGCTTTGGTCAAACACTTGTTTAGCAGATGTGAAGCGAAAAGATTACACTCCACGGTATAAAATATTCATTGGTCTTTGGTGTCAATTAAATCAGCAATACTGACCAAAATTTTCGGGGGGTTCTGTGAAAATATATTCAAACACAGATTTTTTCATTACCATATCTGTGACCTTCACGGTCCAAAGGAAAAAAGAACGGAACAGTAAACTTGAAGTGATGAAAATGGTGTATAGACGTGCAACAATCTGAAAAAGAACTGTTACAAATAACGCTTGAACGAAAATGTTTAACCATTGTTTACTTTTTATTTCTTTTGACTGCAATTTCTTCAGCAAATTATCTGCCGCGACGGCACGCGAAATGGCCTCAAGGCAGTAGACTGTAATGACCCAAACATGGCCCTGAGGGGAAGCTATTGGAGGCAGTGGTGGAAAGGTCATTACGGCAATGACGGTATATAAGGAGCGAGGTAACGGCGAAAGAGTGAGTTCTTAATGAGTTCGGAGTTCTGCGTTCTGAGTTCTCATCTAGTTTATATCAATTAATATTGGTTCTACGGCTTAATTCTCATCTGTTTCCTCTTATTGTCCTTTGTGACAACAATTGTCAAGATTATTCAATTCTCCTCCTGTATTTTCAATTTAAAATTTGTTTTTTAATTTCATTTAGCTAAAATTTATCATTATATAAATTTTCTTCAAGTTAAAGTTTATTGGTTTGTTTATTTGTATTGTACGATAATTCTTTGTAATAGGGTAGCACTAAAGACCGTACTTGGTCAGTGTTGCTTTTCTATCAATAATTTACATCACTAATATACTCTACATAGTTAGGGTAAGAATAGTGG